GGTGGTCACACACACACACACACACGCACCGCACCAACACTTGGGGCAAAAACAATTTCAGCTGATTCCCCCGTGGCTGCGAATACTCGAACAGTATCCCTTCGGCGTGTGGGGTAATGCCTGAAGCTGAAGGCACCAACCCTCAACCGAAAGGGGATATGGTTTACAATGTCAATGCGTGAAGTATGTAACAGCCCACAGCTGAGAGCCAACCGCGGGTCACAGCATGTTTCGCAGTAGAAAGATGCTCCAAGCGTGCTGATGAAGGCTGTTTGCGCACTCTGGCATGCTCGGTACACTCCTTACACCTCGCAAACTTTGCTGTCTCTCGGCCATGCGGGGTCGTGAGAGTTCAGCTCACCTTCTCAGCCAGGACTGCTGTCGGCACTGGCTGGTGTGCTTGCATCTGCTCGATGTTGGTGCGTTCTCTGCATACCAGCAGAGGGAGGAATGCAATCGAATACCATGGACTCCGAGGCGGTGATAGGTACCAAAAAAATCGTTCTGCAAGTCTCAAGGTCTGTTATGTTCTGTCACTGTTGTCGCGCATGTGCTTGATAGAGCAGTGGCCAATGATGAGAAACGAGGTGTTTCCTACAGGTCCACACTCGAGCCATCTCCACTTCTCTCCACCTTCATGAGCACCCTTCGCGAGTGAATCTGAACAGGCACCTTTCTGACAAACGAAGGCGGCACGACTTTCTAGCGGGACAAGGCATCCCACGAAATGATACGGCCACAACATGAAATCGTCCTGTGCTGTGAGCACTAGCGGCTTTGTGCCATCTGCGCCCCTTTACTTACACAAGTATAGCATGCCAGTTTTTCGCGGGCTGCCCACAAACTTCCTGCTCATCATCCTGCCTGCTGAATGCTGACGACAGAGGGGGACTCTCTTTCGCGTTGGGCTACAACGGAAGACAGAAAAAACAATTGAGCGTATGGAACATAGGATGCCATAACATCCTGTTTCGTGGATGGGCAAGGAAACAGTTGGATACAACGAGGCTGTACCATGCCTGAAGGATTGGCTCGAGTACGCGCACACCCCTCTTCCCACATAAACATTGAAGGGATTGTGCAGAGTACGTGGCCGTGGCTAGCATGACGCGTTTTTGGCTGTAGGCGAATGAGATTAGTCAGTCCAGCTTGGTATCGTTCACACGCTGAGATTCCTATAGATCCCAACCATGAAGTCAACCATAACCTTCAGACTAGCAAAATGACCATGCCATCAGCTCACGAAGAAGACTTGTGCGGAGTAGAAGCACATGAACAGAACATCTGGAGCACACCAACGTGAAACACATATTTCTGATACAGAATTACCCTCGGGCAGCTAAATGAGACGAGCCACCAAAATTGAATTCATGTGTTGCAAGCACTTAACACTTCAAGCTGCCACGTGCAGCAACTCCACTGAAGCAGGCTACGGGACGTGCACTTGAAAGCCCCCAACACTCCGGATGAATCCCACTTCGGCGCACTCCATCCGCACGCTGCTGCTGTATGCACATGAACAATCAGGCCTGACAAGCTTTATCGAAGACAAGCTCATAGCGATGCTTGCCTTAGGCAGGTTGCAGACAGGAATTGCAAGTAAAGCTGATCAGCACGTGATGTAGGGCTTGCTTGCAGCTGCTTGCAAGCCAGGTGCAGGCATTGTACTGTCGGTTAGCAAGCTTTACCTGGCCCTTGCTCAGTGTGAAGCACTTCCCAACCTGATGGAGCTTGCAAGAGCCATGTGGCTTGCCCTGACCCCTGTTTTATCTGCTGGTTTCAGGAATTGCCCCCAAGGCCTCCATCTGCTCAAAGTGCTTGTCAGCAGCATCATTGAAGAAGCTGGCTCGGATCTCCCCACCTCTGCATGTCCATCTTCCCAATGAACGGCGTTTAGGCACGCTTGTAACGCTTGACTACCTCATATCAACCCCCCCGCCCTGCCCCCCAGAACCGCCTTCTGCATCAAGCAGCTCCACGTGGAAAACCTCTCCAGGTCGGATTCCCAGTGAGCTACTTGCACGACATCTCATGGGCCTTGCCCTGCCCATTTCCGCTTCGCTGCTTGAAAGTTCTCCTTGGATATGGAGTATCTTGGAATCCAATTGCCAGATGACACAACGTGGCCAGGTGCGAGCAAGCTGCAACGGTGCTTTGCTGGTTACGCGGCCCTTGATAGTCCACTTTGTCTGTCCAGGTGTGGGAATCATGGATTCTGCTGACTGACAGCAATGAACGCATGACAAGCAAAATGTGATTCGATACAAGTATGTTGGAGTCCTCTGCTGCAAGTGGCCTGGTAAGTGGAGAGCTCGCGGATGGGAAAGAACTCGGAACCGGTCATCTCGGCTGCCTGATCTTCTTTGTGCTCATCAAGATCTCGTGGGGCTCAGCTGCTTTCAAGAGGCGCGATGGGGTCGGTGCAGACTTGGCTACTTCTCTCAACTGCAGTGAGAGCCGCAAGCGGACAAATCAGTAGAGCTCGCCTTCTGATCAACGCGAATTTGCATGGACCCAACCACAAAAGGGCGGAGGAGACCGAGATTGCTCCAGGTACTGGGAGTGGGCGTAGCCGAAGGCTCCCAAAATCCCCAAACTCATACGCAGCACAATGCCTGGTGACTTGCTCACAAGATGCTATTGCAGTCCGCTTGCAAAACAAGCAGCAGGTTCTCCAGAATATAACTACTGCTACGGATGCTGTTGCAACTGATACGGTAGCGGCAGCAGCCAGAGTCCTCGTCAGAACAACAGGTGTGGTTGCAAGTAGCATTATAGAGACCGATGAGCTCATATAGATTCATCAAAGTGGCTGATCTCTCCTTGATACACCATCCTTACCATGCCATGCTGCTGCTGCGAATAGGCTACTCACTTGTAGAATGAGACGAAGCACATGGGACTCAATGAATGGGTGCGGCATGAAAAGAAGAAAGCTAGATGCACCCTCCGCGGGGAGCAGGGGCCTGTGTTAATTCAAAGTACATATTCGTTTCAGAGAAGCCAAGAGGCCAGCATGAGCTAACTGCTCAGCTCTCAAACAAGATATCTCTTTTGGCCTCTACCGCTGCAGGAGCAAGTGGCCCTTCAGTCAACATGAAGGGCGCTCACGTGGCTCATGCCTGCCATCTGTACAAGCAGTGGCTACGCCAGTGCTGTGGCAAGTTAAGGGCCGCCAGGCAGTTCTATGCCGCGGCTGAAGATCTGTTTTGTAAACTACGCGCAAGTGAAGTCCGCTTGGCCCTGAAGACCCGCACTTCTGCTCAGCACACTGCAGTCTGCAGTGTGCCCTGCGCTCTGCTGCTTCTGTACACCCAGCTCGCGGAAGGCGACTTTTGTGGGCTATGGATATGATATTTAATTTTGATGGTATGCTCCTGAAGGCCGTAGTTCACAATAATGATCAACCCCGTTTACTCGCCTCCCGTCAGCGTACTACACCATACTGCGCGACCCCAAAAAATTGTCCTACGGTGCGAGTCATGAAACATCACCATGAACTGGCACCAGCTGCTGCAAGCCATCACATGTCTTCCCAACTTTCAGGAACATCCTCCGCCTTAGCATCAGACCAATCTATGCGCTTGCGGCGCGCATATCCCAAAAAGGTTGAATGCGTGCAGACTGGGATTGACGCCTTGCTATCCCAGGCATCAGTTGGCGCGGGCTTTGGAGGTCTTTTCTCCGTGCGAGGTCCTGGCATTTTAAGTCCAAAAATCCGGGCTGAACAAAAACGCTGCAACTGGGAAAGGCCCTGCAACAAAATGCCTAAGGCAAACCCGCCTGCTGTCAGCGTCTGTTCCAAAGTGACACGCAACCGTGCGTTGCCTGCGTTACGGGCTGGACTAGTCCCGAATGACTGACAGCGCAACATGCGCAACACACCTGGTTGTCCCCATGCAGAAGGCCCACGAACAGGAGTAGGTTCAGCACCGGGCTCCTACAGGGTCCAAGTGAGAACCCTGTCAACAAGCAGGCCTTCTCTTTTTGCAGACCGCTCCTGCCCTGTAAGCCGGCGGAATATGGCTGCGCCCGTCCCGCCCCTCTCAACGAAAGCTATGGCCTCGGTGGAATGTCACACCACAAATCAAAAGCCGCTGTACTTCGCGGCAGGGGCCTCCGAGCTGTTGTCGCCCGGACGCACCCCAAGCAGTCCTTCCAAGCCGACAAGGTCGTAGACCTGGCTTTGGCAGGGCCACGGAGATGGGAAGCACATGAGGATGGCTCAGTGGCAGTCCTCATCAAAGGTTTTGAGGCCAGTGAAGCGCAGAAAGGGCTGAGTGCTCAGCATCTGCGGAAGGGCAAAATCCAAAACAAACAACAAGCTGTCAGGGTTCCAGAAGGAAGGACTGGCCATTATTAACTCCGTAAAAGAACCAGTCCTGGATGCCTGGCACACATTGATACTGTTGCAGCACCCGCAGCACCCGCCAGCCAAACACAAGTCGACGCGTGCAGAATGAGGACCCTTCTCAAAGTTCAAAAAGGATTGCTTCCAAAATAAAACCAAGTTTTCCGACCAGGGGGCCTGTGCATTAGCTGCCAAAAAAAGCGACCGGACGCATTGTTGCAGGTGTCCACACACCCATGCTGACAAATGTTGCTCCTTGTCTGACACCAGGGACCTTGCAAGCCGGCTTAAGTCTTTTTGAGATTGGCGATTCAGGTTCCTCTGCTGGAGCCACTTTATGGCAAGTCGGAAATCCAACAGTAGGAGACAATAAGGTTGCAAATGACAAGGCCTGCGATGCTTCACGCATGGCATCTCAGCCAAATGTATCGGCACACGTCAGCGCTTCCAGAAAGCCAGCAGTTGATTCCGTGCTTGGAGGAGAATGCTTATCTGTCTGCATGGACTAATTCATTCACAGGAATCATCCTTCGGCTTCGGCGTTACGTGCTACAAGTAGGACGTTGGCATCCGGCGCTCTTCACCAGTCGCACTAGGGTGGTCTGCTCGAATAGCCACGCTGGGAAGCAACAGGCAAGCAAGCAGGCGGGCAAGCAAGCAAGGAGCAACCATACAAAGCAATGTAACATTGGCACTAGGTGGCAGAAGCATCACTCAGCCATGTCGCTGGCAGCGTGCGCAATCGTGGCATTTAAAATCACGTTATCACTTCAGCTGTATTAGCCAGCTTCATGTACAGGCAGGATCGACGTACGCAGAGGATCAGCATACGTGAGCCAGTTCCAGGAAGATGTGTGGCATGCATGTGGCAAAGTCTCAGGGGTTGCCCTGCCTTTGACAAGTTTACCTCTAAAGCATAACTCGGACTTTGCCAACTTTGCATGCTGCACCTCCCCTATTGAACAAATAATTCAGACTGTTGCCAGTCTGTGTGCAGTAACAGGTTGGCAGGGAAGACGGGGCGCATGCAACAATCAGGATTGAATCTGGGCCTTAGCATCTCTACGCATGGAACCCTCTTGTCCGTAGATACCCTCAAAACCTCGTTTGAAATACCGCACACTGCGGCTAGATTGAAGGCAGATCAAAGCTACGGCAAAGGTAAATCCATGAATCACCGCAAGGTGAACGGAAAGTAAAGAAAAGCTACATGAACCATTTACAAACCTAGTCTTGCCCAAGGACCACCCAAAGAACTGATGTCTAGGGGGTCCTAAGCTGTATCATACTAAGACTCTTCTGCTAAAAGATCTCTACACTATGCTAAACTCGTACTCTCACTCCAACTGCGCTAGTCGACTCCTCCTTATGCTGTAGTTGCCTAGGCAACTAAAATGGTTGTTGCTGCTTTGGATCACGTCAGCTCCCAAAGCTGCTCCCTGGGCTCTGCTTGCTCCTGGACGTTGGCAAATGCAGTCAGAGCAACGAACCACTTGTCCCTTCTCTCAACGGACAAGCTGCACTGCCCGACGTTTCCTTGTCTCAACTTCCACCTCTTTTTTTCCAACCCTCTCTATCGGCCGCACCCTGCAGGTCAGGGCACTACAAAATAAAAAGCTCAAAGGCCCTTCCCAAAACAGCATACACTGATGGCCACGTCCAGCACAATAGACAGGCACAGGCAGCACACAGCAGGCAGCACAAGTATGTACGTACAACATCAACTGGCTGTCAGTTGATCTGGAAGCACAAACTGCATGATCAAGTCGATTGAACAACAAAGCGAAGCAGCTGGCGCAGCAGAAGCAATGCCATCAGCAAGCCATAACCTCTTGGAATGCAATTCTGAATGACACTGGCCACCCTCTTTCCTCGAGTCGGAGACGTCAGACATGGCGCTGCTGTTGGTGCTTGGACCTGGAGAGGAACAGTACTTTCTAAAACATCTGATGCTGGAAAATCTCGGGGCCCTGCGCCGGAAGTTTTCCTGGTGAGTTGCATTAAGCTTGGGGTGTCAATATGGTCAATCCAACACTGTCTGCTGCTTTCTGCATGTTGCGGAGAACCTGCATTTCTGCAGCCTTGCAGCACTGTGCAACTACTACGCATCAACCGTGACATCACTATGGCAGAATCTTCAGGCTATCCTTGGAAACTATTTGTCTTGGTTGGGGCTGCGCAAGCCTCTCGGTACAGGTACAGTATCAAACGTCCCTTAGGATGAGTCACGTAGCATAGGCCCTTTAGCTTAGCCGTCCTTCGCAGGATCAGGAAGAGACAAATGGCTGTTTTGGCTCTTCATTGAGAGGGATGGAGATGGTGAGCGATCCAGCTGCGGAGCCGTCCGTACAGCCAGATGTTGGCCATGACCTCGCAAAAGCTTCAGCGTTCGCAAAGGTTGATGAATGGAAATATCATGTCTGTGCGACGGGCTTTTGATGTCTTGCGCCAAACTCCGTTGAGCATCTTCCTCCGACTCGAAGATGAACTTCTGTGAGCCTCATTAAGTCTGAGGGTCCGAAGAGTGTCTGACAGACTCTTTCAAGGACTTGAGTGCGTTTGAAAACACTGCTTAAAAGTCCGTATCCTGCAGTCCAATTGCTTGATTTCCCTGTGGCCGCCCGCTTAAGAAGTCTTGCGCTGCGGGCTGGCCTCCATGAACTTGAGTTTCAGACCGCTGGGTATTTGCTTGCTCAAAGCTTAGAGCGATATGTCGAAATTTGGCTTTTAGCTCTGGGCAGAAGACTTCTCTTGGAGTGGCCTGTAGTCCCTGTTTGTAGCCGGCCCCACAACGACGGCAAAGGTATAAAGCTGACACAGCCTGGAATGCGCTGGGCCTTCCAAGCAGGTTGCGGACTATCGGTGGGCTTCCGTTCTTGCCATCTTCGAGAAGCGTGAGATATATGACGGATCACAAGCACAACTTGCGCCCGCGGGGAAGCTTTCAAGCAGGGTGCATACTAGC